ACAACAGCAGCAGCAGCAACAACAACAACAGCAACAACAACAACAGCAGCAACAACAACAGCAGCAGCAACAACAGCAACAACAACAACAGCAACAACAACAGCAACAACAACAACAGCAACAACAACAACAGCAACAACAACAACAGCAGCAGCAGCAACAACAACAGCAGCAACAGCAACAACAGCAGCAGCAGCGCGAAACAAATGAGTAAATGCTGACACATTCAAGACGTTGATCGCCGAGTGGAACTCACGCCCCACAACAAAGACAAAGGTCCCCCCGTCTGGCAAAGTGCAGCACTTCACACGCGGCCGTCTTTGTCTCCCCAGTGCTGATGTTCACCCACCGCACTCCCACACACACACAAAGACCCCCCGCCCCCGTATATCCTCTCGCAGGCTGTTGGGGCAATTGCGATGAGCGAGTCGCTGCACTGATGAAGGCCGGCACTGTGGCACACGACGGGGTGGGTGGCCAGCACCACGACCCGGCCGTCTTTGTCTCCCCAGTGACGATGTCGACCAACACCGCAGCACGGCATCACTGGAGGCTCAGTCGCCACTGTCATTGGTCGTGAGCGCCACCGCTCCCCATAGACATAAAGACAAAGATCCCCCGTATAACCTCCACATACTTTTGGAGGCAAGTGCTGTTAGCGAGCAGCACCGATGAAGGTCGCCACGACACACGAGGGGGTGGGTGGCCAGCCCCACGATAGACAAAGTCAAAGACCCCCGTATAGCCTATTACAGACTGTTGGGGCAAGTGCTGTTAGCGAGTAGTAGCACCTACGAAGGCCGGCACGGCACACGAGGGGGTGGGTGGCCAGCACCACGCTCGGCCGCCTTTGTCTCTGTAGTTTACACACACACACACACCTGTACACACACACGTGTACACACACACACGTGTACACACACACGTGTACACACACGTGTACACACACACACACACGTGTACACACGTGTACACACATGTACACAACAACAACAACAACAACCGCCATTCGCCACTAAGTGGCGGTGACGTCACCACGATGCTTGTGCCAGGCCAAGTGCACCTTGAGGCCACGTGAAGTGTCGAAAGCCCGCTGGCAGGAGGTCACACACACACGTGTGCACACACACACGTGTACACACACACACACGTGTACACACACACACACCTGCACACACACACGTGTACACACACACACGTGTACACACACACAAACGCGCGTGTCCAGGGAGACAGGTGCGGGACCACGTGACTCGGATTGAGGTTGCTCAAGGCGGGGCCGTCGTGCCTGGAGTGACCCCTACGTCACCGGGGGGTGGCGGGGGGAGGGGTGTTAGGAGGGGGGAAGGAGGGGGGAGGATGAGGGGGGCGACGTGATAAACACCACGCACCGTGTCACCTGGTTGTAACACGTCCACGTGTATCTGTATCACGTGGTTGTAACATGTTTGTGTGTGCCACGTGGTTGTAACACGTCCACGTGTGTGTGTCACGTGGTTGTGACACCTCCACGTGTGTGTCACGTGGTTGTAAAACGTTCACGTGTGTATGTGCCACGTGGTTGTAACATGTTTGTGTGTGCCACGTGGTTGTAACACGTTCACGTGTGTGTATCACGTGGTTGTAACACATCCACGTGTGTGTATCACGTGGTTGTAACACGTTCACTTGTGTGTATCACGTGGTTGTAACACGTTCACGTGTGTGTATCACGTGGTTGTAACACGTCCACGTGTGTGTCACGTGGTTGTAACACGTCCACGTGTGTGTATCACGTGGTTGTAACACTCCATGTGTGTGGATGTGTGGTTTGGAGGGGTGGTTCACACTGAGAGCCCCGTGGATGGTTGGGGGTGAGTGGGGGTTTTCCCTTGGGACCGCCTGGTACCGAACCGTGGGGGTAGTCTACTGGCAGCAGGTAGAACAATCATGAGCTACTGGCAGCAGGTAAAACAATCAGAGCCTACTGGCAGCAGGTAAAACAATCAGTCTACTGGCAGCAGGTAGAACAATCAGTCTACTGGCAGCAGGTATATGATCTGGGGCTACTGGCAGCAGGTAAATGATCTGAGTCTACTGGCAGCAGGTATATGATCTGAGGCTACGGATATGAGACTACTGACAAGCGAGGGGTACGCCTCCTCCTCGATGCCTATGAGAAGGGAGCGTGGAACAGATGGAGATTAGTCCACACATGTTGCTGTACCGCCTTCTCCTGGCAGAGTCAGGGGGTATGCCCAGGGTGACCCCGCCCACTGGAATTTGTCACAGCACATTCATCCACGGACCAATCCAATTGGCGCACAGCGCCAGCGGCATCGCTCCTCCACGTGGAGCTCCACGTGGAGCTGTCGTCGACTGTTGCGTGGAGACCCGGCGACCTCGGAACGTCTCGTCTTGAATCACTCCCCGCCAGCCACCCCCACCCCACCCTGCCCCCCACCCTGCCCCCCACCCTGCCCCCCACCCTGCCCCCCACCCTGCCCCCCACCCTGCCCCCACCCTGCCAGTTTAGCTTGAATAAGGTTTCTTGTTTTAGGTGATTTGTTTACCTTCCCTATACTTTGCACTCCTATCGTGTCTTTGTATCGTGCCCCTACTGGACATCTGTGAATAAGAGATGTAAAGCTCTGGCATTGTTGTTGTTGTTATTAATGGTGTCTCTCAGCCGAACTCACCCAGTTGACGAGTTAAGAGAGAAAACCAATTCCAGACTGGAGCGATGATAACAGCTTGGTAGCTCATCGAGTTCCTCCAATATAGAAACGAATTCTGATTCGGAATCGCTCCCTGATCGTAGCTCCTGTCATTTCACTCTGAACGAACCGTCCTGAGATTGCCTTCGTCTGGCTCAATGAGCCAGTCCAGCCGAGTAGCGGCGGCGGTGGTAGTGGTGGTGGTAGTGGTGGTAGTGGTGGTAGTGATAGTGGTGATGCTGGTGGTAGTGGTGGTAGTGGTGCTGGTGGTAGTGGTGGTGATGCTGGTGGTAGTCGTGGTGGTGGTAGTGGTAGTGGTGCTGGTGGCGGTAGTGGTGCTGGTGGTGGTGGTAGTGGTGGTGGTAGTAGTGGTGGTGGTAGTGGTGGTGGTAGTGGTGGTGGTAGTGGTGCTGGTGGTAGTGGTGCTGGTGGTGGTAGTGGTGCTGGTGGTAGTGGTGCTGGTGGTAGTGGTGGTGGTGGTAGTGGTGGTAGTAGTGGTGGTGGTAGTAGTAGTGGTGGAAGTGGTAGTGGTGGTAGTAGTGGTGGTGGTAGTGGTGGTAGTGGTGGTTATGGTAGTGGTGGTGGTAGTGGTGGTGGTAGTGGTGGTGGTGGTAGTGGTGGTGGTGGTAGTGGTGGTAGTGGTGGTAGTGGTGGTGGTGGTAGTGGTGGTGGTGGTAGCGCTGCGGCGAGGGGTTGGTGGGTCACCCCACCAGGCGCTCGTGGAGGAGCCGTCCCTCCGGCTCTGCCAGGAGCAGAGCGGCCACACGTCAACAACGTGGCGCCTGTTCCGTCTGTATGGATGGAGTTCAACTAAACTATTACACATTCTTGTCTTTACCAGGTAAGGCCCACTGAGCTGCTATGTAGCTATCACGAATGATAGCTCAACAAAGTGGCTTGTCATGTGGAAATGTATCGCAGCCAAATACTCTTAAATGCGTGATGTTGATTCTAAATGTGGAGGGAGAAACGGGAGGACCCGGAGAAAAATCCAGACGACCACGGGGGGAGAGAGAGAGAGACACGCAAACTCCAACATAGACAGCAGCAGGCGTCAGGGTCGGACCCACGACCTCCTGTATACCAGGCGAGGTAGTGAACATCTCCTTGCCACCGTGCTGATGATGAGAGAGAGAAACAAGCAAACTCCAACATAGACAGCAGCAGGCGTCAGGGTCGGACCCACGACCTCCTGTATACCAGGCGAGGTAGTGAACATCTCCTCGCCAGCGCAGAGCTTGGAGGGCGATTGTCGGTAAGCGCCGTCTCCTGACCACCGCGTGGCTGCCGTGGCTGCTGCTGCTGCTGCCGCCTTCTCGCTCCTCGTCTGCGGTTCCTCCTCCTCTCTCTCGCGCGCGCGCACCTCGCGGTTGGCTTCGTATGGCGCGATAAAAGTTCAACATCCTGTATATACAAAGACAAAGGTCTCCCGTGTAGCCTTAACATACTGTTGGGGCAAGTGTTGTTAGCGAGTAGTACCTATGAAGGTCGGAACGGCACACGAGGGGGTGGGTGGCCAGCACCACGCCTGACCGCCTTTGTCTCCCCATTGGCGATGTTTATACACCGCACCAGGTACTAATTTGAGGCTGTACACACACATCAGCACACGTGTATGTGCGTGTTAACATTGTGGGGAGCGGCGGCGCGGTGGTTAGCGCGCCGCACGATGAACCCCTTGCGGATATCTGAACCCTGAGGTCGACGGGCACGGTGTGTGAAACATCGGCACTGGAGGGGAGACAAAGGCGGCCGGGACTTGGATGTCGGCCAACACCACCAATTCGCCTTCCTGAATAGATAGATGATCGCTCACTACGACCCGTCTGTGTGACAGCGCGCGGCTCGAGACGGGGCCCCTTTGTCCTTGTGCATCAACACGAGCGTCCTTCTGATGCCATCTCTCACCCAGAATAACCCCCCACCCTCCCCACCTCCTCCTCCCCCTCCTCTCTCTTTCGTCTCTCTCGCTCTTTCCTGCATTTTCCAGGCAGCACCAAGTCTCTCCTCCATCTCAGCCTCTCTCCTTAATTGCCCTCCTCCTTCCCCCTCCCTCCCTCCCTCCCTCTCGCCCCTCTCTCACTTCTCTATAAACTGACCCAAGCGCCCCATTCCTCCTTCCCCCCTCCCCTTCCCTCTCACGCCCTCTTCCTGCTCTCCCCCCCAGCCCCGCACTCTCCCCCCAGCACCACCCCTCCCCCCCCAGCCCCCTCCTCCCCCCACCTCTCTATACCATGACTCAATCTCCCCCCCCCGCTCCCTCCCCTCCCTCCAGCCCCACCCCTCCTCCCCCAGCCCCCGCCCCTCGCTATATGAAGACCCCCCGCGCTGCCCACGCGGACTCCAAACGCGAGGCGAGACCAGGTGAGCGCGTGAGGTGAGTGAGGGGGTGAGAGTGATGAGTGAGGGTGAGAGGGTGAGTTATGGTGGGAGCGTGGGGTCAGGGTGAGGTGAGGTGAGAGGGTGAGGTGAGGGTGAGGTGATGAGTAAGGGTGAGGTGAGTGAGAGGGTGAGGTGATGAGTGAGGGTGAGAAGGTGAGTTATGGTGGGAGCGTGGGGTCAGGGTGAGGTGAGGTGAGAGGGTGAGGTGAGGGTGAGGTGATGAGTAAGGGTGAGGTGAGTGAGAGGGTGAGGTGATGAGTGAGGGTGAGAGGGTGAGCGCGTGAGGTGAGCAGGTGAGTGAGGCGAGTGTCGCCATGCTACTCTGCGATAATCGATCATTTGTAACATCATCATCATTAAATTTATAATCATCTACGTTCGTTTAAAAATCCTGCAACATATTCCCTGCAAATAAAACAAATCACGCGACATCCATTAATTCATCCCCACGATGCTCTGTTAGTGAATGCGTTTCGCGCTGCTCACGGGGCGACAGGGAGACAGTGACGGTGTACAGTCGACCATACTTCATCGCGCCGGTCACCACCTCGTTGTCGAATCGCACGAAGGGTTGAGTCCAGGGGTGGGGTGAGGGGTAGTGTGAGGGGTAGGGTAGGGGTAGTGTGAGGGGTAGGGGTAGTGTGAGGGGTAGTGTGAGGGGTAGTGTGAGGGGTAGTGTGAGGGGTAGGGGTAGTGTGAGGGGTAGGGGTAGTGTGAGGGGTAGGGGTAGTGTGAGGGGTAGTGTGAGTGGTAGTGTGAGGGGTAGGGGTAGTGTGAGGGATAGGGGTAGTGTGAGGGGTAATGTGAGGGGTAGGGGTAGTGTGAGGGGTAGTGTGAGGGGTAGTGTGAGGGGTAGTGTAAGCGGTAGTGTGAGGGGTAGTGTGAGGGGTAGGGGTAGTGTGAGGGGTAGGGTAAGGGGTAGGGGTAGTGTGAGGGGTAGTGTGAGGGGTAGTGTGAGGGGTAGGGGTAGTGTGAGGGATAGGGGTAGTGTGAGGGGTAGGGGTAGTGTGAGGGGTAGTGTGAGGGGTAGGGGTAGTGGGAGGGGTAGTGTGAGGGGTAGGGGTAGTGTGAGGGGTAGTGTGAGGGGTAGGGTAAGGGGTAGGGGTAGTGTGAGGGGTAGTGCGTGGGGTAGGGGTAGTGTGAGGGGTAGTGTGAGGGGTAGTGTGAGGGGTAGTGTGAGGGGTAGGGTAAGGGGTAGGGGTAGTGTGCGGGGTAGTGTGAGGGGTAGTGTGAGGGGTAGGGTAAGGGGTAGGGGTAGTGTGAGGGGTAGGGTAAGGGGGAGGGGTAGTGTGAGGGGTAGTGTGAGGGGTAGTGTGAGGGGTAGTGTGAGGGGCAGGGGTAGTTTGAGGGGTAGGGTAAGGGGTAGGGGTAGTGTGAGGGGTAGTGCGTGGGGTAGGGGTAGTGTGAGGGGTAGTGTGAGGGGTAGTGTGAGGGGTAGGGTAAGGGGTAGGGGTAGTGTGAGGGGTAGGGTAAGGGGTAGGGGTAGTGCGAGGGGTAGTGCGTGGGGTAGGGGTAGTGTGAGGGGTAGGGGTAGGGGTAGTGTGAGGGGTAGGGTAAGGGGGAGGGGTAGTGTGAGGGGTAGTGCGTGGGGTCGGGGTGTGCGTGGAATAGGGTAAGGGGTAGGGGTAGTGTGAGGGGTAAGGGTAGTGTGAGGAGTAGGGTAAGGGGTAGGGGTAGTGTGAGGGGTAGTGCGTGGGGTAGGGGTAGTGTGAGGGGTAGTGTGAGGGGTAGGGGTAGTGTGAGGGGTAGTGTGAGGGGTAGTGTGAGGGGTAGGGGTAGTGTGAGGGGTAGTGTAAGCGGTAGTGTGAGGGGTAGTGTGAGGGGTAGGGGTAGTGTGAGGGGTAGTGTGAGGGGTAGGGTAAGGGGTAGTGTGAGGGGTAGGGGTAGTGTGAGGAGTAGGGTAAGGCGGGAGGGGTAGTGTGAGGGGTAGTGCGTGGGGTAGGGTAAGGGGTAGGGGTAGTGCGTGGGGTCGTGTCATGGTTCGCGCGCAGCGCAACGAACCCGGCTTCCCGAGTTCGATTCCCGCTCACGACCAACACCAGTGACGATTATCTGGACTGGTCCCCTAGGTCGACTCAGCCTCAAATGAGCACCTAGTGCGGTGTGTAGTAAACATCGCCACTGGAGAGACAAAGGCGGCCGGGCGTGGTGCTGGCCACCCACCGCCTCCGTGTGCCGTTCCGGTCTTCATAGGTGCAACTCGCTAACAGCACTTGCCCCAAGTCTGTTAAGGCTACACGGGGGATCTTTGCCTTTGATAAACAGAGCTGCAGTCTCCAAACCCTTATCATCCACCTCCATCTCTCTACAGTCCTCGCCAACGCAATTCACGTTGCCATGAAAAAAGGGCCTTTGGCCGAAACGTCATATGGGGCCTCGTGTAGCCTGCCGGAGTATGTAACATGACGCGACCATTAGCGTGGTTGTAACAGAATATGGGTTACAAACTAAACACACAAACACATTGCCACAGCTACGCCTCGTCCACATAACAGAGGGAGACCTTGCCCACAAACATCTAGGCAGCTCAACAGCGTTAGTGCGAGCAAAGCCTGATGACTCTGCTGCTGCTGATGATGAGACACTAAATATCGAAACCGGACCAGAGGTTTGCTTGCATTGAATCAATGCTGCTGATTTCTTTATTGCGTACGCTTTGCGACCTTGGTTCAAAGGTCAACTCGCACTTTGCAACTCGTGCCTCTGTGTTGATGTCACGACTGGTAATTGTATATATATATATGTGTTTCAGGAAATCAATCTCCAACTCTCCACAGATTTAACACAACAAAGTAGTTCCTTGGTGCGACGCGCAGGAGTGATACAACGATGGCCTCTGCGGTGCAATACCTGCGCAAGCACAAGGGGGTGAGTGGAACGCCCCAGCACGGCTCCCAGAACGATGATTGAGGGCCGACGTTGACTAATCGATGATGCAAGCTAACGACTAATTAAAAGCCATCGATTATGATTCTTAATTGACGTTATTTATTTTGGGGGTTGCGGGGGTGAGTTGCATTTGGGCCACGTAAATAACTTTTGGTTGCTTTTGTGTCGTACGAGCCTCCACCACCCGACGTAGCCGCACGAAATTAAATTAGCTGACTATGATTGACGTGGCTCAGCTCACCCTGTGGCGAGTTAGAGAATCTCACAAGCCAGATATAGTAACACTCACCCATCCACTCATCCACCCACTTACTCACTCGACCACTCACTCGCTCACCCACTCACTCACCAACCCACCCATTTGCCCACTCACTCACCTACCTACTTGCTTGCCCACTCACTCGCTGACCCACTCACTCACCACCCGCTTACTTACTCACCCACTCACTCACCCGCTCACTAACTTACCCACCCACTTACTCATCCAATCATTAACCCATCCACTTACTCGCCCACCCACTTACCAACTTGCCCAAAAAACTCACTCACATATTCACTTTAAGATTTTTTTTGTTCATGTTTTTGTTTTTTGTTGTTGCAGTTGCACCCGATTCAATAGCCGAATGGCTCACAGGGCTATACCTAATAAATGAAACTTGAAACTTGAAACTCACTACCTCCCTTACGCGCTCACCCACTCACCGATCAACTCACCCAATAACCCACTCCCCACCTCTCTTACTCGCTCGCCCACTGAACCCAACCAATGAATCAATCACACTGGAGAAACACCCCAGTGACTGAGTGTCAGGTGTATGATGACCGTGTCGCGTGTGTGTTACAGCTGATCCCTCTGTTCGGATTCCTGAGTCTCGCCGTGGGCATGAGCACCTCCATGAGCATCTATGCACTGCTCACCAAGACTGACGTCGTGTGAGTACCTGTCATGGCCTCCGCGGTGGGGGTTGGTGAGGGGGAGCGGTGGCACAGTGGTTAGCACACTCTGTACTCCGAGTGTGTGCGTGAGGGGGGTTTCTCTCCCCCTGTTTTGTCGTGTGTGAGAGTAAGTGAGTGTGTGAGAGTAAGTGACTGTCTGAGTGTGAGTGTGTGTGAGAGAGCGAGTGTGTGAGTGAGCGTCTGAGAGTGAGTGAGTGTGTGAGAGAGTGAGTGTGAGTTAGTGTGTTTGTTATCCGGCAAAAACAAACCCCTCCCTCCTCATGGTGGTTGACGGCAACGCTGTAGTGGGCAGTGCCGTGGCGGGAGGGCCAATTTAAATTGGCCTTTCCCCTCGTGGCATTGGTAACCACCACAGCGGCCAAATGGGGGCTCTGGATGGGTGCGAGGGGCTGGTAATCCCTCCACCTTCAATTAATTACCACTAAACCACGACTGCATTTTTTTATTAATAAGCTTGTACCAGAGGTCCCGGGGGGACAGGCGTCTATGACGTCCCCTGGCCAAACCCTATTTGGCGGAACCAGGAGATTGAATCCTTACCCTCGGGGTTCCTCCAGAAACAGCAAAAAGCCACTGCGGGTGGCCACGTGGAATGTCCCATCGCTGCCTGCAGACAAAAGAGGCTGCCACTTGTCTGTCGGAGCTGGACCGGTACCGCCTGAATTTCTGTGGCATTCAGGAGATACGGTGGACCGGCTCCTGCTCCTGCCACCATGAAGGGTGGACAGTCCTTTACTCGGGGCAGGAGACTGCCAAACAACAGGGAGTGGCTCTTCTTCTGAACAAAATAATTAATGGGGTGTGGGAGCGTGGCAGTGAGGTGTGGGAAGCTGTAAGCTCCAGGCTACTTTGGGCTCACCTTCCCATCAACCAGAGGCGAGAAGTGGTGGTCATGGTTACTTATGCCCCCACCGAAGACGAACATACGTGGAGGGATGCAGGCAAAGCCGATGAGTCAGATGCCTTTAATGACCTCCTGTCACAGGTGCTAGCTAAAGTGGCCCCTCGTGATAGAGTCATCTTGTTGGGTGACTTCAATGCCCGAGTTGGTCATGATGCTGGCACCTGGTCTGGAGTGATTGGAAGGCATGGGCCAGATCAGCTCAATAACAATGACAGGAGGCTGCTAGATTTTTGTGCAGCCCATGGGCTTGTAATTACCAACACGCTGTTCCGGCATTGGCGCATCCACACAACATCATGGATGCATGCCGGGTCCAAGCAAGAACATCTGCTGGACTACATAGTGACAGAACAGCAAATGCGGGCCCATGTCCTTGACACCAGGACCTACCGTGGAGCTGATCTGCCCACTTACCGTCGACTTGTCATCTATAAGATGCACCTACCATTCTTCCACTCTGGTAGTGGGTGTACACCCAGCACCCCATTCAAACCCTTAGTGGCATTGTCTCAGCTCGCTGATGAAAGTTGCAAGCGAGAATGTCATCATCGCTTGGGGCTGGGGTTGGCATCGTCCCCCACTCCTCCTGATGTCGAGGGGAAATTGGCGAGGTTTAGGACTGTGGCTCATGCAGCTTCAATGGCTGCTTTGAGTACACGGTCCAGACCTCCCCAGAGACCCTGGCTGACAGAGGAGGTCTTCAGGCTGGCTGAGAAAAAGCGACAGGCCGACTCTCATCGGCTACAGCATCCCACGTCGGAGAATGAGGAGGCTTACCGTAGCCTTCGCTAGGATGTTCGGAGAGCCGTGAGGCGCTGCAAGGATGGGTGGTGGTTGTGGGTTGCTGAGGAGATGGAGTCTGCCTCAATGGTCCGCGATCACAAATCACTCTTTAATTCCATAAAAAAGTAACCTGCAGCGCCACACCTATTACCATCATTAGGGGAAAAAAACGGTGATGCAATCTCCGACACCCAGGAACAAGTTTTCGGATTTGCTGAGCATTTATGTGAGGTCCTGGAGTAGAGGAAATCCCTCAGCCTGGAAAATAACGTGGGACAAAGTGGGGATGACCCTGCTGAGGCTGCGGTGCCTCAAATATTGGAAGGAGAAGTCACCCCCTGTGAGTGGCTGGCTGAGTTGCCATCTGTTGAGGAAGTACTGAAGGCGATCCGGAGTCTGAGACCAGGAAAGGCACCGGGCAGAGATGATCTCCCAAGCGAAATGCTGAGGGAGGGTGGCGTTTGTGCCCAGACTGCCCTACATGACATCATAACAACAGTCTGGACCACTGGACGGGTTCTGCAGGATTGGAAGGATGCCCTGGTGGTTTCCCTCTTTAAGAAGGGGGACCGCACAGACTGTAACAACTACAGGGGCATGTCACTCCTCAGTGTGCCGGGAAAGGTCCTGGCAAGGATTATTCAACATCGCCTTGCTAGGCACGCTGAGGAGAGGCTTGAGGAGCCCGAATGCGGTTTCAGGATAGGGCGGTCCTGCACAGATGCCATATTTTCTATCTGTCTGCTGCTTCAGAGGTGTAGGGAATTCTAACAAGACCTACATCGTTGCTTTATTGATCTTGTCAAGGCCTATGAAACCATCAGTAGGCCTGGGCTCTGACCCTCTGCTCACGATCATTAAGGACCTTCATGATGGTGAGCGGGCCCGGGTAAAAGTACGTGGCCGAGAGTCGGAGCCATTCCCTGTACACTTTGGGGTGCGACAGGGATGTCCTCTGGTTCCCACATTATTTAACATCTATTTCAACCACGTAGTTCGTGAAGCCTATAATAGCTGTACCGGAGGAATTTCCATTTGGTACAGATACAATGGGAGGCTGATCGATGCCCGGGTGCGGTCAAGGGATGGCTCCCTATTGCTCAATCATGTTATGTATGCCGATGATCTGGTAATTTCTGCTCATTCAGAGGAGGAGTTGGAGGTGCTGCTGCTGAACCTGGAGCTTGCCACCAAGAGGTGGAGCCTTACCATCAGCCCCACCAAAACTAAGCACCTACCTGGGTATTTTGTATCATCGGACACTCCAACCCCACAACTCCCAATTGGTGATAGGGCAGTTGTGGAGAGAGTGGAGAGTTTCCCATACATGGGAAGTGTGCTCATGACTGGCTCCAGTTTAACAGCATATGTCTCACTCCGAATCAGTCGAGCGGCATTATCTTTTCATCGGTTGCGTAACGCTGTGTGGAAGCTACCTGGTCTGTTGCTCGACATGAAGCTTCAGGTCTTCTCGGCCACGGTCATTCTCTCCTTTTTCTATGCTTGCGAATCGTGGACCCCCCTAATGGAACATCTTCGCCGTTCAGAACATTTAGACTTGCCTGCCTACGATTCATCCTGGGTTTAACCAGGCTGGATTGTGTGAGGAGCTCCTAAATTCGTGAAAGATGTGGACAAAGCCCCATCGGTGAGCTCCTCCGGCAGGCAAGGCTGCATTGGTTGGGTAGCCCGCATGCCCAGCCACTGCATGCCTAAACAGCTTTTGTTCGACCGGATCGAGGGGGGTAAACGGGCGTGGCACGGGCTAGAGAAGAGATGGAGTGATGTGGTACAGGAGGACGTGGAGCTGAGTGGACTTGCCGATGACTGGTACCAGCGGTGTCAAGATCGGCTTCTGTGGAGGAGGCTCGTGAATGATGCTACTGGGCAGTTGGGGGCAGTCGCCTTCCAACAACAACGGAGGGGGGAGGAGCGACACTCACAACAACGAGCGGAGCACCGGGTGGCTAAAGCACAGCAAGTTGGCACAGTAGGGGGCACAGGTGGTGCATCGGTCAGTCATATGACTCTCAGTCAGTCGACCTATGGCACTTAGGTCTGCCCCGTGACCTCCTGCCAGCGAGCGTTCGACACTTCACGTGGCCTTAATGTGCACATAGCCTGGCACAAGCGTCGTGGTGATGTCACCGCCACTTAGTGGCGAATGGCGGTTGCTGTTATTGAGAGTGAGTGGGGAGCAGTAGTGGAGTGGTTAGCGCGCTGCGCGAGAAATCCGGTGACCCGAATTCGATTCCCACTCACGGCCAACATTAGTAGTGATTATCTGAACCGGTCCTGGGTCTCCCCTAGGTTGACTCAGCCTCAAATTAGTACCTGGTGTGGTGTGTAAAGACAAAAGCGGCTGGACGTGGTGTGCTAATAGCAGTTGCCCAAACAGCCTGTTAGATGCTATCCTGGGATTCTTTGTCTCTGTAGCATTTATGCGTGTGTTGTGTGTCGTGTGTCTCATCAGGGTGAATAAATCTGGGAACCCGTGCCCATGGGAGAAAATTGATCCAACCAAACCACAGAAGGTAATACTCATGCACTCACACGGACAAAGACACACACTTACACAGACACACTCACATAGACATACACTCACACAGACACGCACTCACATAGTCTCACACAATCACATAATTACTTACACAGACAGACAAAGATCCCCCGTATAGCCTGAACAGCCTGTTGGGGCAAGTGCTGTTAGAGAGGAGCACCTATGACCAGGGCCAGATGAAGGCGTGGGGGCTTTAAGGGCTGCAGCCCAGGGGCCTCCGCCAGCTGGAGGGCCTCCAGACATTAAGTGAAAAGTTATTTCGCTCGTGAATGCTGAATTTTATTTGCTGTTAGCCTTGTAAAAATAAATTGTATTTTTCTTTAACTTTGTTTTATTTTTGAAAATATTACTGGGGGCCTCACAGGACCTGTAGCCCAGGGGCTTTCAAAATCTTAATCCGGCCCTGCCAATGAAGGCCAGCACGGCACATCAGGGGGTGCAGTGGCTGGAACCATGCCCGGCCGCCATTGTCCCCCAAGCAGCGACCCAGGGGAGGCCCAGGATTGGTTCAGATAAGTGTCACTGGCGTTGACCGTGCGGGGAAATCGAACTTGGGTGGCCGTGTACATGTGCAGCGCCATAACCGCTGCACTACCGCTCCTCACTCACTCACTCACATAGACTCACAATTACACAATCACACGCTCACACAGACACACACTCACACGGACATATACTCAAACACTCAGATCGACACACAATCACACATCAACAACAGCTGTCATTCGCCAATAAGTAGAGGTGACGTCACCACAGTGCTTGTGCCAGGCCAGGTGCACTCTGAGGCCACGTGAAGTGTCGAAGGCTCGCTGGAAGGAGGTCACGGGACAGACCCAGGTGCCATGGATTGACTGACTGAGATGACTGGCAGATGCACCACCTGTGCTCCCCACTGTGCCAAATTGCTGTGGTTTAGTTGCCCGGCGCTCCGCTCGTTGTTGTAAGCGTCGCTCCTCTGCTCTCCGTTGTTGTTGGAGGGCGACTGCCTCCAACTGCCCAGTAGCGTCCTTCACGAACCTGCTCCATAAAGGCCACTGGTACCAGTCGTCGGAAAGTCCACTCAGCTCTACATCCTCCTATACCGCATCAGCTAAACATAAGCTGCTTGGGCATGCGGTGGCTGGGCGCGTGGGCTATATACCTCAGCCAATGCAGCCTTGGCTGCTGGAGGAGCTCACTGATGGGAATGTGCTCAGATCTTTGAAGGATCTGTGAGCTCCTCACACAATCCAGCCTGGTCCGTAGCACAGTGCGCTAACCACTGAACCACCACACATACATGCAAAGTGCCCCCGTATAGCCTTTAACAGACTGTTGGGGAAAGTGTCGGCAGTGTGTCGCACCGATGATAATCACCACCGCTGCTGGTGGCCGTGATTGGGAATTGAATTCTGGTCTATGCCGGGTTCATAGTGCGATGCGCAAACCGTTGCACCACCGCTCCCCTCACTCGCATCTTCGCAGGACCACCCGCACACACTCACTGGGGTGACTAACTAATCGTTCTCTCTCTCTCGCCCCCTCTCCTTGTCTCTCCCCCTCACTGTCTCCTCGATAGTTGATCACCATCAACCAGAAGTGGGAGAGATGCGAGGGACTGGACCTGGCAAAGCAAGCGACCAAATAAACTCACTCATGGACATCCCACACACTTAGTCACCCAAACACATACACATACACACCCACTCACACACACACATAGACACCCACTCACGTAGACACCCACTCACATAGACATAGACACCCACTCACGTACACATAGACACCCACTCACACACACATCCACATAGACACCCACACACATACACATAGACACCCACTCACATAGACACCCACTCACATAGACACACACTCACATACACATAGACACCCACTCACACACACATCCACATAGACACCCACTCATATAGATACCCACTCACGTAGACACCCACTCACAGAGACACACACACCAACTCACACACATGCACACACAAATAGACACTCACACACACACATACACCTACTTCCACACACACCCACTCACTCAGCAAGTGACGAGTCAGGTGGTTGGATCGTTGAGCTGTAAACGGGGATTGAACTCTGACCGGAGCAGTGATTTGAGTAAAAATGGCGTTTATAGTCAATAGACAAACAAGACAAAGGTCCCCCATGTCGTATTTAACAGGCTGCTGGGGCAAGTGCTGTTAGCGAGTAGCTGCTATTAAGGCCGGCACGGCACACGAGGGGGGGTGGGTGGCCAACATCACGCCCGGCCGCCTTTGTCTCCCAAGTGGAAATGTTTACATTCCACACCAGGCACTCATGTCGACCTAGAGGAGGCCCAGGACCGGTTCAGATAATCACTACGGATGTTGGCCGTGAGTGGGAATCGAACTCGGGTCTTCTGATTCGTAGCGCAGCGCGCTAACTGCTACACACAGTGCTGCACACACACACACAGTGCTGCACACACACACTGCTACACACACACACTGGTACACACACACACACAGTGCTGCACACACACACACACAGTGCTACACACACACTCACAATGCTACACACACACACACAGTGCTGCACACACACACAGTGCTGCACACACACACACAGTGCTGCACACACACACAATGCGTTGTTATGTTCCCCGCACAACAGAGAGCCTCTAGCCGCACACGTGATTACTCTCTCGAGTCCGTCCAAATGATGGCAGCAACTCCGTGCTGAACTTGAGTCCGCGAACTGCGACACACAGTGTACCACAAGGGTGGTCCAGATGTCTCGTGACCCCCACCCCCCTCAATTAACTCCTAATATTGTGTTGCATATTCGTTTGTGTTTTAAATAAAACCTTACATATTAAATACAATTATTACGTTGTAGAGAATTATTCAATCGTGGGGGTTGGTGAGGACCACCCTGTACTCTGTGAACTGACCAGATGGGAAGACTCTCATGTACCAGGTACTCATTTGAAGCCGAGTCGACCTCGGGGAGGCCCATTGACCAATTCAGATAGTCGTCACTGGTGCTGGCCGTGAGCGGGAATCGAACCTGGGTCGCCAGGTTCATAGCGCAGCGCGCTAACCGCTACACTACCGCTCCCTCCACCACACAGTTCACACACACAGACACACACACTTATACAGTAGGAACCTCTGGTTACACCAGCCTACAGGGGATTATTCTGTCCGTCCGTCCGTCGTGCGGGGAGGGGCTGGGTGGGGAGGAGCTGAGTGGGGAAGGTGGGGAGGGATTGGGTGGGGAGGGAGGGGCTGGGTGGGGAGGGGCTGGGTGGGTAGGGTGGGGAGGGGCTGGGTGGGGAGAGGGGAGGGGCTGGGTAGGGAGGGTGGGGAGGGGCTGGGTGGGGAGGGGATTGGTGGGGATGGTGGGGAGGGGCTGGGTGGGGAGGGGCTAGGTGGGGAGGGTGGGGAGGGGCTGGGTGGGGAGGGAGGGGCTGGGTAAGGAGGGGCTGGGTGGGGAGGGGCTGGGTGGGGAGGGTGGGGAGGGGCTGGGTGGAGAGGGAGGGGCTGGGTGGGGAGGGTGGGGAGGGGCTGGGTGGGGAGAGGATATTAAGATAATTATGCATTAACTTAGGAAGGAACCACTCAGACTCTTCTGTGTTAAGCAACTTTAATATCTAAAAACACTCTAATATGCAAACACACTTATGATCGGAATTGCCACGACAGGACTCCTACAGATATCATACTTATCGATCCGTACAATTAAAACCTCAATGCTTACGTTGTTAAACTGAACAGTAAAAAACAGGCGAACTGCTCATAGTAACGCGACAATCCACGACGGTAGCAAGGTCCTTAGAAATAACAGCAGTCATGCGCAACCGTGCCAAAGAAACATGCTCAATGGCAAAAGGGGGCATCAATGAATTCATTGGTACGATTATGTCATGAAAAGAAAACAAACGACTAAAATACTTCTCAACGACCGTATCCATGCAACTTAAGGGACAGCACAATGAACACACCGCTCTCGAATGGCAACCCTTTGCGGAACAAACGCCACGCGGGACAACCTCATTGGTGCCCATATGCGCGTTGGAGGGGTGAGGGGAGGAGAAGAGGTGGTGAGAGGTGGGGTAGGAAGGGGGAGGAGGGGTGGTGAGGGGAGGAGGGAGGGGGAGGAGGGGTGGTGAGGGGGAGAGGTCGGGAGGTGGTGGGGGAGGAGGCATTGGCAACTCTCATTGTTGTCAAAGGTGTAACTTTAAATCGAGACTGGCTCCACTTCTTCTTTGATAGGTGCCGACCAGTGGTTCCAAAGGTTACACGCGTCACGTGCACAGCACCGCTGTTGACATTTCTACTGTGAGCGCAAATGCACCTGCTTTACCGGTTTTCATGCCGTAAACTGGTTACCGTAAATAAAACCGGTTATTAATGGCCATATAAGAATAGTCGTTTTACCCTTTCTGGCAGTAAAACAGGAGGTGTGCTCGGATGTTCAAACAACCACGTAGGTACCTTTTTGCAAGGCGTCACGTCTGCATGAACCACAAGCACACGTGCTTGTGGTGAACGTGCAATCCACACGTGCTCTGCCGACATTGTCACGCAATTAGCTTTGGTATTGGTTGGCCGTCACCGCCAGTCTTCTTCACCGCCTTGCCACGCCACAGGTATTAGACCGGAGAACAACGCCAGACAGCGAACAGCACACAGAGAGTGCACGTATCGGAAGACTTATAGCTCGAGTCGAGCAGTTTCACTCATGGGATACCTCTTTTGCCAGGTTCAAAATGATGAACGATAAGAATCGGGTGTTTACCCTTTCTGGTCATAAATCTGAGCACACCTCCTGCGTCCACTGCCGTGAAGGGGTAAACAAAACTATTCTTGGGGTTTTTCCCATTATTTTTGATACTGGCAACAACAATAATGTTCCGTAGATTCTATCAGACGTTTTGTTGCCGACTCGACATGTTTCCGTCAGAGGTATGAACCCGTTGCAGAGCAGGCGGCGGGGAGAGGACGAGCGACACGCACAGCACGTCCCTGCCCGTGGGTGGGTTACGTGGGTGTCCAGGAGGAGGCGCGCCACCTGGCGCTGCCAGGAGATGGCGCTAGAGAAAAGTGTGCGGACTCGGCTGCAGCTGATGGAACGATCGGAATGGGATGTACCCTTGCCTGGCAATGAAGCAGGAGGTGGTGAAGATATTTCTTTTAGAAGGCATGAAGTTTGCATTAACCACACGTACTTGTGATAAAACGTGTACACAAACATATCTCTGATAATAATAATAATGTCCGCATTGTCTTTAAATCTGATTGGCCTGCACCAGAGACAGCCTCCTTCACGGCCTCGTCTCGCCACCGGCGTTAGACCAGAGGACGACGCCAGATTGGTCAACACACGTAGTAAAGTCACATGGAGACTGATTGAGATACATAGAGATACACCTCGAGATACATAGAGATACATAGAGATACACCTAGAGATACATAGAGACTCATATCAATACATAGAGACTCAGAGATACCTAGAGAAGCATAGAGATGCATAGAGATACATAGAGATACATAGAGATGCATACAGATACATAGAGACTCATATCAATACATAGAGACTCAGAGATACATAGCGACCTCGAGATACATAGAGATTCATCGAGAAACAGACTCATTGAGATACACAGAGACTCTTAAATGATACATAGAGACTCATAGAGATATGTAGAGATTGTGTGAACGTGGGCTAGGTTTTTGCCTAATCCTTGTCAGCTGGCTCAGCAAACTTAATAAACTAAACTAATGTAATGCGGTTGTAAACGGCCCTCCGGAGGTGCCGTCATGGGGGGAGGCGTTAGGTCACGTGGGGGGAGAGGGGTTGAGATAGAAGGAGGGGAACCGGAAGAGGAAGGGGAGTGACGGGGAACCAGGAACAGAGGAAGGCCACGAAGGGCGAAGCGGGGTGTGGCGAGATCGCCACGAACACGGGGAGGAACGAGGATCGGCACCGTTGGCCAGCGGTGACCGACCCGAGGCAGCAGGGAGGGCTGCAGTCAGCAGCGGGGCTGCAGAGAGAGAGTGGGCAGCGGGTCTGCATACAGTGGCAGCCAGAGGGTCTGCACATAAGGGTAGCAGCGAGTCTGCAGGAAGGAGGGGAGTGGATGAAGCAGAGAGTCGGAGGAAAGAAGAAGCTATAATAGCAGAGAATAGCCGGGGGCTACAAATACAGGAGTTATAACAGAGTGCCGTGTGGGTAAAGACGAGAACCCGAATAAAGACACGAAGACAGAAAGAAGTGTCCGAGTCCTTTTATTACACTGGAGTCAGAAGTGAAACGGCATGGCGAAACAACTGAGGAAAAAGAATATCCCATCTCCGGCGTCGGCTTCATCATCGGACGACGACGAGCTTCCTCCTGAGGTCGGCTTCACTTCGGCGGAGGGAGAGATCCGTGAGGGCCCGGGTGTCGAGGAGGTTGCCGCTGCGTCCGCCCCGTCTGCGTTGAAGGACGAAGATTTGAGATGGATCCGAATGGCGGAGCAGCTGGCGACTCTTAAAACCGTCATCACTGAATTGTGTGACCTTGTCACGCCAAGGGCGGCGTTGGAGGGGGATGGTGGTGATCGGCAGGAGCCCGGATTGTCTTCGATGGCGCCGCCATCGGCCACGCGGCGTGAAGACGCCATCTTGGGCGTGGCGCACCACGGAAGGCGGGAAGCCGCCATTTTGGGGCCGCCGCGAGGATCGTCCGCCATCTTGGCGACACCGCGTTGCGACGCCTTGCTGAACTTGCCGCCGGAAGAGTCAGTGACGGACGGAAGCAGGCCAAGGAGCCGCAGTCGTCACCTTACAACCGTTAAAGAGTTCTCCATCGGGGGCGATTGGAGTGCGTTCGCTTGTAGATTTTTGGCGGCGGTACGAACGGCAAGGTGGACGGACGCTGAGGCACTGGAGGTGCTTCCGACTCTCCTTGACGATGAGTCTGTTCGTTTTTTTCGCTCTATAAAAGCTGCGAAGAAGAAAACACTGCGTGGGGTGTTCGATGAAATGGCGGACGCGTACGAGCCACCGGATGACGCCCATCGCCGCTTCGTGCAGCGGCAACGCGCACCGGAGGAGTCGCCTGTAGCGTACAGGGGCGCCGTGCTGGAACTCGCTATGGCCGCTTACCCGGAGACGGAGCCTGACCTGCTGGAACCTCTCATCTTGGGGAAGATGTTGGAGTTATCCCGGGATCTGGGCATTCCTATGCCAGCGTCCGGTCACGAAAAACTCACGTCCCGGGCCGCGGCCAAGTGTTTGGACGCCCAGTTCAATCTCCGCCGCTGGAAACAAGTCACGGCGTGGACGGGCGGTCCTGTCGTCGATGGGGGGGCCGTAGGGTGGGACCCTACAAAGGCCGTGTACGTGCCGGATGCGACCGGCCCAAAGGAGCTGTCGGCCGCCTCCACTCCGTGGCCGGCTCGAAGCGGGCCAGGGCCGCGGGCTCCGCCGCCGGCGCGGCCGCGTCGGGACGGGGTGCCCGCTGCGCGCCGACCCGACGTCGACTGCTTCCGCTGCGGCCGTCGGGGCCATTATGCCAGGGACTGCTGGGCCCGGGTTCCGGGGCCGCCCCAGCAGGAGGCCTCGACAGCGGACGCCCCAAAGAAAGACCCTCCGGCACAGGCAAGTCGGTGCGCACCAGACACCCGGCAAGGCCTGACACCTCACTCATCGCCGTTGTTGTGCGACGCGGATGTTGTAAAATATGGGAGGCCAGTATCTGCGCCTTGTCGCTCGATAACGCAGTGGCGTAAGCTGGCTCGGCGGGTTGTCGCGGCCGCTACGGGTTCGTCCACTGTACCGGGGTCGATCCAAGGGGTGGACGTGCGTATTTTGGTGGATTCCGGGGCGTCCGCGA